GCATCATAAATGTCCCTAAACTTATAGTAAGGTTTAAAATGGGAATGAAACTAAGGCTGTGTTCCATAAGGCTGAGTTCCATCGTGTTTAAACACACAAGTGCTGTTTCACTCGCAGCATGTTTTCTTTTCCATAGAATGTATTTTAATTGTGTTTACATCATACATCCGCATACTATATGTTTGTGAAGGTGCGTTTCTCGTTCTGCCTTTACACCCCCACACTTGTCTGATATTCTGTGGTCCGTGATTCGTCACAAGTCGGTCTAATTAAGCTAAAATATGAAAGGTTGAGTCACAAAGGTCTATTTTCATTTTTACATTTAACAATTCCACAGATTGATGGTACTAACAATGGACCGTGAGGGGGGAAAAAAAATATTCAGATAGTTGCAGATACACAGACAAAGAGAAGAATGGCTGAGATGTGTTTAATTGGTGAATAATTCGGTGAGGGGGGCATCATGAATCAGAGGCGCCTCTCGGCTCATGTTGGAAGTTACATGTTGCATGTTTCTCATGTGTGGTGATGTGAGGATTCAGAAATAGAAACCTGTGACGTCAATAGCCGTGTGAGCGAGAAAGATGGTGGGAAATATGGAAATCTGCCATTCAGTTTGGAGGAGGTTTATTAACTCCTTCATGCACCCTGGAACCTGATAACATGATCAGCTGTCCACTGGAGTAACTGCTGTCTGAAAGGGTTAATTGACACATTGGACTAACTGAAAGCTAAAGTGGGTAACATGAGCATTCGCTTTATATTGTACAGGACAGTGCACACATGCAACACACTACATACACAAAACACTTATATATACTTATATATAAAATACAAATGCACTTGTATTAGGAAAAAAAAAGTGTAGCCTTAGACCAAAGTGCTACTCTATCTCAATAAATTGTGACAGATGTATGGCATTTTTGTGAAACAGTTGACGAGATGCTGAAAGCAAATGTTACCAAAACAACACTTGCTTTCATTCATTTGGGTATTACTATATATCTTTTGTGTATTTTGTGTAAAACTGTCTTGCAGCATATTTAGCCCTTGCAAAAGTATCATTTTATCAACAATGCATTTCATTCATTGGGCTCTTTTCATGGCAATGCCCTCATATCGCTGAGAAGGTTAATATCAGGAGTCCGCATGTGATGATTCAACAATGGTCACGTTGGAATATGTTGTGTCCCAACCTCAACAGACTAGCTCATGGAAAATCACCATCCCTTTGTTTTGCTGGCAGCAAAATGTCCACAGAACATGATGCCACAGTTGGTATGGTTGACTGGCTCACCTTTAGTCATCCTTAGAGACCTCAACAGAGCACAAAATTACCCAACACTTTACTCTGTTAAAATAGACCTCGTCAGTTTTGGCAGGCAGCTGCAAATTTACATTGAGCTTAAGACCTCTGCTCCAGCCTCCTCACAACACTGCACAAGATGGGTGGTTTAGAAAATAAACAGGTGATGAATGGATGGATGGACAGATGGATGGGTAAAACTGTTGTTTGCATTTAAATGGCGACCATAATAAGGTGACCCCTATGAACGGGTTCATACTTTTATCCATTCGTCTGCATTTAAACTGATGAGCTTGTGCCGGATTCCCAAAATTCGCCTCACGTAAACTTTTAAGAGAGACTTTTTTTTTTTCGATCAAATTTTTATTATTTTAAAGAATTCCTGGTGACTGGCTCTTGATTACAAAACCTACGCTCTCTGTTTTTGGCATCACTTTGGAAGTTGGCAATATTAATGAATATTCATTCATGTCACATTAACACACTTCCTTCCCCATCCACTTTGCATTAGCTCCCCCCTGTTTGCTTAGCTCTGATCGCATGCATGGATGGACTTTCCATATTACAGTGCTGGTCTATCTGATAAGGTCGAGTCAAGTGCTTTTCTAGTGCCAATGTCAGATGACATGAACGTAGCCCGACTTTGAGCCGAGAGACGTGTCACAGACAAACGTAGACAATTTTAAGCCTGCGTCGTTGACATACCAACGATTGGTCGTGAGGAGTCTGGCACGCTTCACAACCTCGACGAGGAAAGTCTGGCATGTAAGAATTTTTGTACGTCTCGCCACATAGTGTGACATGGCCTGCATCGTCCTTTGATCGGTTCTTCTGCAGACTGGATATGACGCACACAATCACAATGTGGTGTCCAGTCTTTAAAAAGTGACTTGAACAAAAAGGGAAATGTTGTAGCCTTTCAACTCATGCTCTGTTTGCTAACTGCAAAGCTAGTAGCTGATGAGCAAACGTGGTGTCATTGAACAGATTCGGTGCGTGAAGTTCTTTTTGGAGAAGTAGAAAGTCCATATCGTTTTCTCCCCACCATCCAGGAATGGATCCATTCTCTCTTTTCTTTTGTTTTTGCCTTTTGTGAACATAGTTATAAATGCACATGCGCGTAATGCTTCCGTCGACATGACAGGTAGAGAAACCTTCAGAATAATGCAACTTAGGCCTAGCAGACAAGTACCGTTAGTTAAATTCCAAGTACTGATGTCACAGCATTAAAACCTGCGTGCAGTGCATTTTTTTGTGCATAGTTTTCAACATACAGTCCATCTCTCCATTCGTATCCGTTATCTCGCCATTCGTCATCACAGAAACCTTGTGCAACTGTGCGCTGAGTAGCTGATATTAAATGACGTCCGGCCAAACCCACACAAGTTATATGAACTATGAGGATGCGTCACAGGAATCTGTTTTACCAGGACCAGTCGAAATGTGAAGGATGAGCTGTCTGATGCACGTGTTGCATCCTTCAGTAGGAATTACAAGCTTCCAATGATACTGGGGAGAATTTCCAAGTTGGCTCTGATATCTTTTTATAGTTGAAGATCAGGAAATCGAAAGAACTCACCTGTTCATCTGCATTTCCAAAAACTGCTGGAAACGCAGTAAATTGATAGCTCGATCCACATTGTTTAAAACGATTCCATCATCAGTCAGTGTTAAGTGTCAGATTAACAGGCAGCCACGGCAGCCTTATTACCACATGAAAGGACTGCGAAGCGGCGAGATGAAAAGCATTTCTTAGTGAATAATTGTGTTCTGTCATCAATATTCATCACAGCAGTGTAGTTCTTATTCTTCTATAATATCTAAGAAAATGTGATACTCAATTCCAACCAAAACAAGAGTGACTCCTGACACTTCTGACCGATCCATGAATGTTACACAAACATATGTGGGCTTCCTACAAACTGTAGTTATTTTGTCAAATATCAAAACTGTGTTTGAACTTATCTTTTTGTCTTTTTTATGTATTTGTATACTTAGAAAAATGCTAAAACCTATTACATGTATCATCTGTGGTCACCGTGCCTAAGAAATGCATGAATAGCAATCAAATGGGAGCGCAGTTATTCATCTTAACACTTCCTTTTCTCTGTTGTGTTCAGTGGGTTTGCTGAGGCTGGACAACTGACAACTGCTTGGAGGAGTTACACAACAGTTTTTTTTTTTTTTTGGGTTGTTTTTTTTTTGCGTGCGTGTGTGTGTGTGTGTGTGTGTGTGTGTGTGTGTGTGTGTGTGTGTGTGTGTGTAGGTGCATGCGTGCACACGTGTGTGTCTTTGACTGAACATGAGCCAAGACACAAAAGATCCGCCCACTCAACGACATCAGGTTAAAACAAGTACGAATTTATTCTAATTGTGCATCTTTTAATGACGTTTTCCTTCCACTGTAAAAATGACAAAGAAGCCGCTGACAACTACAAATAGGCACGCTTATATTTCCAACTGCTTGGGGGGGTTTCTCAACATTTTTTTTTTTTTTTTGGGTTTTTTTTTTTTTGTGTGTGTGTGTGTGTGTGTGTGTGTGTGTGTGTGTGTGTGTGTGTGTGTGTGTGTGTAGGTGCATGCGTGCACACGTGTGTGTCTTTGACTGAACATGAGCCAAGACACAAAAGATCCGCCCACTCAACGACATCAGGTTAAAACAAGTACGAATTTATTCTAATTGTGCATCTTTTAATGACGTTTTCCTTCCACTGTAAAAATGACAAAGAAGCCGCTGACAACTACAAATAGGCACGCTTATATTTCCTTCTCATTGAACAAGAAAACAAAAGGTGACAGTTCACAATGGTTCATTTCATGCTATTGTCCCGATCTCTGACAACTGATGCCGCTTGCCTTCCAGTGAAACTCCTTCACGATGATGTTAACATTGAATATTATCGACATGTGGCATCACCCTCGGCTTGCCTGTTTTTGCTAACTTGCTTGGTGAGAGTGTGTGTGCACACCCACTCTTCAACTCCTACTCGATGTCAACCTTGACACCTTTCCTTTGCTTCCACCTCACTTTTGCTTTGTTTCCATATCAACATCTGAGAACGGGAGGGAGCTGCAGGTTATACGGGAAGTGCGGCATGAAAGCATGTCCCCCATGATTGGTGTGAAAGGTGAAAAATGGCGCAATTTTTGATGGACTTGAGCCAACTAAAGAAATGCCATGATGCCTACTTTAAACTTAAATTCTTATTTGGTTGGTCTTATTTCCTTTCTGCTCGCTGCACTTAGCCGATCATTTGACTCTCATTGCTCTCTTAGTTTCTTTGCAAATCGGCCAATTTGCACCTCCTCGGTCCATCTGGCATCTGAAGCCGATGACTCACAGGAGTGAGAAACTTACTGACGTAATTGCCTTTCGCAGCGCCACCAGCTTGTGAATCCATTCAACCTTATTTGTCCACACTGTGGCAGATGTCGTTCACAGTCAGAGCCATTCCAGACCAGACTAATACTGTATGAATGATTGGTGTGCCCTTTTGGGACACTTGACTCAGATGTACTCAAGATTTAGTCACACGACAACAACGTGCTACTTTGTACTGGATATTAGTTTTTAGTTGTTGTTTTTTTTTTTTAAATGATCTCTTTTTTGGAGGGGTCTCAAAAACTTTCATGCTCAGCATCCTCAATTAAAGGTTTTCCATCTTTTGAAAGAAAAGCACAAGTACAACCCAAGAAATATGCACTTTCTCTCTTTATAAAGATGTTCATCTGCATCCAGTCAAGCCTTTTTACAGAGTATCAATATGTCACAGAAAGACATCCAACATCCAATCTCAGGCTTCCCGAAAGGAAGAATTCTTTCCCCGTGTTTGTCGAAAACGACACCATGTTTACAGAAAATATTCAAATGGCAATAAAATGCAAAAACATTGAGATACAAATAAGTGTAGCTGCTAAAGAGTGGATTCCCCTCCCCCCCTCCTCCTCCCCACCACCACCACCATGTGGCTGCCAATATGTGGTACAATGCTGTCTTCTCCTCTTTCTGCGAGGGAGCTGTCAACCCAACAACCCTCTCACTCTCGCTTTCTCTCTCTCGTTCACTTCTCTCGCTCTCACTTTCTCTCCTTTCTGATTCTATGTTTGTCTCATCTCTTGTCTCCTCACTGCCTGGTGGCCTTCGGTTTCCCTGGATCATGACGAGCTGGACGACACCAATTTGAGCACCCACAACAAGCATACGGTACATCGGTATTTACATGACACTGTAAGTGGTTACAATACTGTTTGTTGTTACTACGCACTGTGTTCTAACAGTAATTAGTACAAGTCAGTTACCTGCGTGCAATAATAGCACTATTAGTTTTGACTCAGTCGAGTTGAGGAAAAGAATGACATCATTGACAACTGCTTTCAAATCTTGCTGAAGTTAATGATGGACTTAGCCCTCACAGCCCTGATTTCAAGAAAATCATGACATCATTCAGGCTTCAAGCACGATGCCTTGCCTGTAGTCTTCTGTATCTCAAGACCTCCTCGCAGCCCTGAAAAGTGGTTAGCCCTGTAAGGTGGTACAATCTCCCTATCTCGGTCGCTGTGCCTTGAGGATTAGCATACAACAGAGCTGCCATAGGGGATATAGAGAGTCTTAAAGACGGATCCTCGCAGCCTTTAAAACAGGCTGGAAGGTACGGGGCGGGGCACTTGAAGTTGGATTCAGCCAAATAGCAAGTGGAGATTGAGTGTGAACACGGAGACGGCTAGTGCCGAGAGGGAAGAGGGCAAGGATAGTGAGGTCGAGGAGGAAAATGGAGGCAGGTCAAACTCAGGAGGGCATTCGAGCTCAAAGCATCGCATCGTGACCCCAGAGTCCTCGTTGCCATAGTTTGCCCAGTACTCTTCCTGGTCAAGTTTAGGCAGTGCCAGTTCTTCCTCCCCCAGCTCATACTTGACCAGTGATGTGGTTGTAGATGGGCCTTTCCCATACAAGCCGGCTTTGACGGTCTCTGAAGATTTCTCAAAGAGACCTTTGGTTGAGGACTGAGGCTTGTTTTTGTGGAACCACCATCTGGTTTTGGTACTGAAGGTGGTGGTGGTGGACCCGGCGATGGAGCCTGGATCAGGCAAGGGGCAGAGGGCAAAGTCCATTTCTCGAAGAAAGCGAAGGTCTTGACCGCGACGAATGGAAGGAGACGCGCAGATCACCTCAGATGAAGAGACGCGGGCCTCACGGAACCACTCCCACAGGGCGCGGGCTTCGCAGCCGCACGACCAGGGGTTGGCATTGAGGCGGAGGAACTCTATGCCCTGAGTGTCCCTCAGAGTCTGACTGGGCAGCTCGGGCAGAGAATTGTTGAAGAGGAATAGCATGGTCAGACGACCAAGGTCGCGAAAGGCCCGGCGGTTCACCTGCCTGATGCGATTGTCGTGAAGGAGCAAGCGGTCAAGGTTCACCAAGCCACGGAATACATTATCTGAGATCGTGCGTATACGGTTTCCGTGCAGGAAAAGCTGACTCAGGTTGATGAGGTCGGAAAAGATGTCATCCTGTAGGAAGTGTAGATTGTTTTCCTGCAGGGCAAAATATCAAGAGCAAAATATATTGTCAGTAGATGTGATTCCATTCGGTGTACTTTAGAGGACCAGAATGTGTCCCCTCTGGCATCCTCTGGATTTTCTCATACGTTTTAATATATGTCATCAATTTGTGATAAATTTGACAAATGAAAAGATTTTTTTTTGGGGGTGGGCCCAATGTTGAGACTCCATATTAAGCCGTGACCTGTGTTCTGCACACACAAACACAAAAGTCTCAAATTACTGTGAATCAAATACTTGCCATCGGGATGCAAATATAATTGTAACTATGTCTTTCTTTTATAGGTGAACGGCTACCTGCAAGATACAGTACAGATTTTACGTTCAGTCAGTGTTTAGATGACACTTTGGAAAGCTGTTTGATCAATTCGATAAACTTGATATTCAGCGTAATGCATTAGTACATGGCTGTACATGTACTAGTATGCTCTTTGCTCTTAGAATATCGAATAAATGCTCCAGTTGTTTGAATGGCTGAATTATGAATTAGTGACAAACTAACATGGCAAGGCCTTTGATATCCAGTTTAAGGTGCATATATTACACTCTCTTTACTCACAAGTAGGACCACTTTGGTGTATTGGCGTGACAACTGCATGTTACTCGAGAGGCAAAGCTGTGCACCAATTGAAGACTACGTGCCCCGAGTGAAATGCTATAAAATGATATTAATCATTTAGCCATAAATCCCTGTCAGCATTTTTTCCACAGCAAATTAGTTTCCATCTTTCAGGACACAAGAAAGAAATTTTTAAAAATGCTCAAATGCTTTTATTGGAAGCCATTTGAGCATTTCTGCAATACGCTGCAGTGGCACTGAATTGCCCTACTAGTGACGACAAAGAGTGTACGAGTACAATACCTGAGCCCAGATATAAAGGATATTGAACAAATGCTTCAACGGCTTTGCATACTGTATGACCCTGCAATACCATTTAACTTCATGCATTTATATACATCATTTGTATGTTTTACTAGGGCATGTATGTTCATTTCATTCCAGTGCTCCCTACCTGTAAGTAGAGATAGTGCAGGCTGTAAAGCTTGCGGAAGATGTCGTGAGGCAGGGCTGTGAGTTTGCAGCGGTGCATATGGAGGCTCTGGAGCTTCTCTAGGCCACGGAAGGCTCCTCCTTCCAGCCGGTGAAGATTAGGGTTGTCCCCTAGGTCCAACTCCTCCAAGTCCCTCAGCTCACTGAAAGCCCCTGCTTCAATCCACGTAATGTTGTTGGAAAAAAGCCACAGAACCTGTCAGACAAAATAAATACCAAATAAGTCATTACGTTATTTAAGGCGAGTGAAAGGTTTAGGCTCATTGCATACTACTTCTTCCAACCTGAGTCCCAAAGCCAAAAGAGCCAACTCTGAGCTCCGCGATCCTGTTGTTCTGGAGGAAAACGCGCTGCGACTCATATGGCACTCCGACCGGGACGGCGGTGAAGTTCTGTGCTTGGCAGCTGACAGTCATGGGAGTCGGGTAACACACACACAGGTGCGGGCACCCCGATGCCAGACTTGGCTTGCCAAGGACCATCCAAACCACCAGACACAGGGAGATGCTGACTGCATGGTGGAGAGCGAGAGGAGAAAGAGGAGGAGGAGGTGAGTGGGGAGTTCTCTCTCAGTGGTGCTGAAACAAACTACCGGTACCACCATTTACTTCAATTTACCCTCTTTTGTTGAATAACTGACTACCTATCAACATTTTAATCTACTCTTTTTCCCCTTCTTCTCACTTAAATTATAAAATGTATTTTTCATATTGAATGCTGCTCTTGCATGTAGTTTTCCTTTTCAGTTGTAGTAATATTTGTGAATGTTGCTCTGATGGGATGAAGAGAGTTATCTATCTGTCTTGTCATTTTATTGAGACAGGCGTTCTGTATTACAAGGAGATAATTCTAAATGAACATGAAATCACGCGTTTGTTAGAGAGAAATTTGTCAGTAGAAATGTGCATCTCCACACTGCGGCTAACCCGACTTTTACGCACAGTATTACTGCTATTTTAAACGCATTCTGTGGGGTTATTATCCAATCTTAGTTGAAATCCATCGTTGTATTAGCATTCCAGAACATCCAAAAATATTTACCGCCACATATCAATGGGACGCATTATTCTGAGCCCGAAAAGAGGACACTTACTTTTGCAGTTGCGCACGATGGAGGAGCATCGTCGGCCCCGAGAAATCGAGAAGGTTTCCATCCTTAACCAAAGCCCAAAGCGAGTTAGCCTAGTGAGGCGAAGTATTGCCTGCTATCTCCGCTGATGACCTGGTTCCCGAGTCGGAGCGACTGAGAGAGTGCCGATTGATGGGCACCCGTGTCCCATATATACTCCCAGCATCCCGCTATTGCCTACTGAGGTGATCACCGTGCACTCGCCTACGTCACAGACGATGGGGGTCACGATTGAGTGAGGGCGGCAAGAAGCGGAAAAGGGCGGGGCCCCGCGGCGGGGACTCTTGTGGGGAACTTTACGCGCGTGAAGACTGGTTGGATGATCGGGGAGGAGGAGACTGAGGACGCACGTCGAAGAAAAAAGGACGAGGCGGGAGCGAGCGCAATTGAAAAATTCTGAATGGAGGAGGGAGGGAGCCGAGGCACGTTGATGACTGAGCTTTGTGGAGGAGCGAAGGACGGGGAGGAGAAAAGCACACAAGTCGTTTCCTGGCAGCGGCTTTCTAGACTCTTTTGGTCTGTTTCCGGCGCAATGCAAGCCAGACAAAAGCTGGAACACAAAGCTCAGATGGCTGTGAGCAAGGAAAGGAGGATGCCCCCGAATTATGATTCAGCCACGAGGGAAAACTTCATGCCAGAAGAGAATCACTCCAAACAATTGTGGTTATTTGGTGTCTGAAGTGGCCAATTCTGGGCTGGTCCTCAGTTAATCAGAGGGCACATATCAATTCACACAAATTCATATTTAGTTAGCTTAGTAGTTCACCTTCCATTCACAGGGCACAGTGGAAGGCAATTGAAGCACTTATTTGAAATCTTTTGCCACCCGGCTTCAGGTCCATGGACGGCTGTATCCCCTCGGTCCTCACCATTAAGACACGTGAGCGGAGTAGACAGAGTAAAACGACTGCGTCTTTTTTCACTACTGTGTGATATTTATGAACAATAGAGAAGGTTGGCATACTGGAAAGACAAATTACACGTGACGAGTGAGGCAAAACTGTAGGGGCGTGCAGAGGGTGGGGGCCAATGGGATTTGGATCTCAAGCATCCACACAGTTTTGCCTTACCAGTAACAGATTGTAGCTGATTTTTAATAAATGGTGCTACAACTTCGCGAAAAGCCACAAATGTTAAATTGGAACTAAGCAATGTAGCTCCACGCAAGCCTAAAAAAAAAAACTTCCTCAAATCCCAATGCTCTGCTGGCACGTTCACAATCATACTTGAATACTTTCTAGCATCAGTCACTCTACTGTCAGTAATTTTAATGCTTTATCAATTCAGCACATAACTGACATGAAGATTAGTTCATGTTTGACCACCTATGGGTGAGCTAAACTGTGAAGCCAGTTGAGTGTACCTGTGCCAATAGTTGCATGGTGAGAGATGAAATGAATCTTGTTGTTGTCTCTTATCCTTGAATTACATTTTGAATTTGTATTTTTCCTGACTAAAAAAAAAAAAGAAAACAAACAAAAAGACAAAAAAAAAAAAACATCCACCTTGAATTCAAATGTAATCATCTTGGGATATCTTGAGATCTCCCTCGATGATACTTCATGACGCATGATAGCATAGGCTACTTGTGGCCGAGGTTGGCAAATTTCCGACATGCACTGATTTGTAATGTACTTCTTTCTAAGATAAAAGTCAAAAACTCTTGAAAATTACTTGTGGTCAAATTAATTGAGCAATTTTCTCTGATTCTATTTTAGCCTTTAGATAGAAATCCAGTAAACTGTTTCAATTTAATTATAGTACATTAGATGTGCTGACATTTTTTTTTTCCAGCTTTAGTGCTCCCCCGCCCTCCGAAGCCCTTAGCGCTGTACTATAATTGTATTACCTAATAGTTGTACCCGCCCTCCCTCGACCTAGTCTTAATTTGCATGAACGTTTTGAATTGATTCTGTTGGAATGAATGTAATTTTGTTATCCCTTATTTACTCTGTGTACCTTTAAGTTTTGTTTCAGAGTGAAACCTCGCAAATACCTCATTTACAATGGGGTAGGTTGACAAGGGGAGACTTATTGGACCAGGATTGCCCAGCCCACTCCTGTTCTGGTTTCTAAGATAACATCCTTTTGTTAAGTTAACGGCTTCTGATCAAATTAACTGTTACTTGTGAGAAGATAACATCAACCCAGGACACCACGAGAGGGACATCCCAAGCTGTGTTCATGGACCACCGACACCCAGCAGGAGCCGTTTGACCACATCTCAGGAATGAACTGTATGCTCTCATTGGAAGCCTCCTCCCTTGAAACTGTTGTGAAATGTGAAACTACTCCCCATTCCTTAGACGTTTATGTAATTAGGGACCCCTTCAATTCTCAATAAATAGAGAGGGCTCGGGGGGGGGTACTTCAGAACGGGTTTGAGATGTAACTGAGTACACTTCTCCGTTCTCCTTGCAAGCAAATTGAATCAGAGCCTCTTGTCTTCCTTCCTTGTATGTTGTTTATTATATTTTCTAGGTTGACTGAACCTTTCAGATTCTAATCAATTTCATTGTGACTATATCTATTTCATTTTTGATTCAATAGAAAAAAAAGATTACATTCACTTATTTTGTTGTGGGCTGCTGACTCTATTGGCATAAACTCAACATATTGCAGTAAGTGCTAACAGAATGTGCTTATGTTTTGGGTAATCTGATGCATCTGTTTAGAAAATGAAGAATGATATGGAGCATATGTGGGAAAACATGTTGAAGTAAATTAGAGAGTGTTCCTGTTGGTGGCGGTTAACAAACAGCAAGGGACCATTGGCGGAGATTGCGGACTCCAGTCGTATGACTTGATTCAAGTCAGACTCATGTTTCCATTTTTACAACTTGAGACTTGTTTGCCAAACATTTGAGAAAGACTCAACTTGGCTAAGACTAGAACTACATGACTTCACCAGTGATCTTGTTTGTAGCTAGAAACCTGAATTTTAACAGTTTGCCTTTTTTCGAGATGAATGGAAGAAACAAAATAACAATGGGGAGCGGTGGGTGAGGGCTGGTGGGGGGAGGGGGGTGTTTCCTTCGCACCAACACACTCAGCATCACTTGTGGCTGATGTCATTGTTGGTTCACACCAACTAAACACCAACAGCGGTAGGAGCAGCTCCAAAAATCATTACTTCGAATTAATTGATTGCTCTGTCGATAACATTGGTCACAAAATGCAAGAAGACAAGTAAGCTAACGTCACAGTTGTGCAAGCAATACAAAGACTGGTAGGGGACCAGTAAAAACTGATTGTCAACATATAAGAATGGCAAAGTAACATAACTAGCATTGGGATGGTTGTTAAAGGCCACTGGTTTCTGAGGTGGATCAATGCAAACTTTAAAAGTAGTGACTATGAACCTTAACATAAGCGCCAACTGTTGAAACTTGAATTTAAGAGATACAACATCTGCAGTGTTGACTTTAATCTGTCAGGTAAAATAGCTGTGTGAACTGTGAAGCTAAGCTAGCTAGGTTTCCTCGGCGGTTTAGCTCACAATTCGCAGGTGAAATATTTGCTTCATGTCGGTTATTTAATTGAGAGGCCAAAAAAATGCATGTTGTTTTTTTCTTCAATTTCTTCGAGACGTATATGTTCATTGACTGTTTAGACATAATGTACTATTTGTCGTATCATCAGTGAGAAAAATATCCCTCAAATATATGTTGAATCTGAGCAAGATTTTCTGACTTGCCTTACAACTTGCTTAAACCAAGCAATGACTTGACTCGGATTGCTTGACATTCAGTGGCGACGAGTTGACGTGCTTTAGTGTTTTGTTTTGTTTTGTTTTTTTCCACAGTATTTGGGACTTGTTTGCGACTTGAAGGTTACGACTTGAGAGTTACTTGTGACTTGCATGCGAGTTACTCCCACCTCTGACCATTGGAAAAGCTTGCAATGTGATCTAGCTCTTTTTTGTCCAGAGGAGCAAAATGGCAATGCAGCTTTTTTTTTTTTTTTTTTTTTTAATGTTTGGCCTTGAAAATGAAAACAGAGGGATGAGAGCTGTTTCGAGGTAATATAAAAGCCTTGCCATTTATAAATGCACACAGACAGCATACCAGACATGTAAAAACTAAACTGAGTGACCAACAACACATGAGTAATTCAGCATGTGTTGTCCTTTAGTGCCCACTGACTGTCCGGGACATAGGCATCCCCTTCACACACACCTACATCGCCAGCTGCACGAGTGTGTGTCAAGTGTTTCTTGCGAAAATCATTTCTTCCTTTTGTGGAAGAACTTTGTCAAAATGCCACCACAGTGTCAGTCTTACAGTGTGGTTGTATGTCAGGCACGCATGCACGCACAGTAGCTCTGAAGGCGCCATCTCCTCCAGTAAGTGCGTCGTATGCTACATCATGTTGGTGTCAGTCCCACACAGAATTGAAATGAGGTTTTCCCTTCCAGCACATCTACCAGCTGGTCCGAGTCCATCTGTTTGTTCTTGTCCCTTCCCCTCGCACGCATGCACGCATGCACTGTTCTGCTTTGAACCACTGTCGGTCAGAGGGAGGAGTGCGTCATAGGAAGCTCAAAGCAACAGCTTGTTATTCTCTTGCTCCCCGCGGTGACAGACAGAGAGACAATTAATCACACTTTCAACTTCAACTTTTTGATTTGGCTTCCCGGGGTTCACTGGATCGCTGTTCTGAATGACGTCAGCTCGGTCACAGTGCTAGCACGTTGCGGTGGATATCGCTAATGGGATATTGAAGTCGAGGTGGGGCCGCTACCATGGTAACGGCACACATCCTTTGATTTTACCTGCAGCACAAAGTAAACGCCGTTCTACAGCAGTTTGCTTCAAGTGGTGTTTGATACAGTATTGGCAAGTTGATTAACCATTGCAACTCATTCGTTTATTCTTTTCCTCATTCATCTGGTACAGCTTCACGCACTGGTTATTTCCAGTATGTGCATCTACTTTATTTGTGCCACAAAAAAATGCCTCGGCAAACTGCGATAAATCCCAGATTTGCATTAGACTTAAGAGTTTTTTTGGTTCAAACCTTTTCAGAAATATCATAATATCATTACATTTTTTTTCTTAGGCGCTTTGGTACATTTCTCAGATTAGAACTGTCAAAATTGTCAAAGTGATTTGTTCATTCCTCACATTATTTTACGGATGGCCCGATCACATTTTTTTGGCACCCGATTCTTTGGTTTTGAGTATCTGCTGAT